TTATGGGTGTACCAAGGATTACATATATGGTAGTAAATTGAGCTCCACTTCAGCCGCAGACATACGTACATGGCGGATTTGGGCCGTGCGCGTGCGTGGTGCGTACTCTGCGTACAACGGCGATTCGGGGAAGGTGTATGGTGGAGGCTGTGGTGAGATCATCGGTCGGTGGATTCTTTTGATCGTGTTTGTGATGCTGTTTTTCAAGTGTCTACTTTATTCCATTGCTCATTGACAGACTAATACATTTTCCAAATCTTGATCAGGGTTGGGGTGGAAATTAGCGCTGACGCGCTGAATGGCAGTATCTGAAATTTGGTTTTGGCTCTTGGGGAGAGAACAAAAATATTAAAAGCACAGCTTATAGTGAGAACAAAATAACCCAAGTGAATTTGCAATACATTCACAGCTGGCACTAAAGAACATTCTTTAGCAGCAGATGACAGTAAACACCATGCTCAGGCTGGTCTAAGTAATCACTGAAGACCATTAGAGATTGGCTGCTTGCAGTTCTTAAACTTTCTAGCTTCCTAAGCAAGTGCTTTTTTCTTAAGTCTTTGCATGCACCTATGGATTTTTTTAAGCTATGAAGCTGATAGAAAGTTGTTGATATTGATAGTTCTATTGTAAAGGTGTCAGTCTCAATAAAAGCTGACAGAGGCAGATGCTTAAAATGTTGTGCATGTGTTGCACTGTTCCCTGGGCTTCATAATGTCAAGCTTATGGTTGAAGTGTCATGCAAGCTACAACATAAATAGGAGCATCTGGGGCACTGTAGTTAGTGCAGCTACATTCTAGCCCAGGTACAATCTTTCTTACCCAGAGGAAATATTTTGGGGCAATGTGATACCTACCTAGGCTTTACTGACCTAGATGTACTTAGTGTAGTTAGTGCTGTATGTAGTTAGTGCAGCTACATTCTAGCCCAGGTACAATCTTTCTTACCCAGAGGAAATATTTTGGGGCAATGTGATACTACCTAGGCTTTTACTGACCTAGATGTACTTATTGGGAACAAGTTTTGTAGTTCCCTATTTAGTTGGATAGGATGTCAATCTTCCCACTCTGAGAAAAAACTTGGTGAAAATCAGGAAGAACATGGTTTGCTCCATTTCAGGGGGATGAAAGATTTCTCTGCTCACCTGCTCTACCAAGTTATGTACAAAACTACACCACCTGAGACATCAGGCTGCTGCATGATCAGGGCTCAGATGCCAACACAGCAGGGGTGGAGGATTGTTTCATCCTCACAGAGCAATCCAGTCACATAAGGTTAGCATTACTGCATCTACTCAGTGGCTGAGTCTGTACAATACTTTTTCATTGTATGACACTGAACTAAATTTATATTTTGCCTTTATTTACACCACAAACCAGCTGAGCTACCACACTTTTCAGCTAAATAAAAGGTACATCTAGAAAAATGCGAATAATCATATAAATACACCAGAAGAAGTTCTGCTCAATGGAGAACAAGAACCCTGCTTTAGTTTTATACTCAAATCATGATTGTGTGAGGATGCTCTGTAGATCAATAGAACAATTTTATTCTTTTGTTTGATGACCCTTTTGTGTGTTCATCACATATTCATCTTAGATTTCTTGGTGGAGAATATGCCTTATCTTCAATGTTAAATCCTCGCCAAGAGCCCGGGACTTGCAGAGCCTTGGTTTTCCACATGCCCGAGTGGTGGGTTGATGGTTAACATCATCATTATATGCTCCATACAATATCCATTTCTGATAATTTTCAACAAAACTTCAATAAAAGTAAGATTGAAAAAGAATGAAAAATAACTTATTCATCAATATATGATTAATTCTCCTTATATTTAGAGGTACATGTAATGTTTACCTCATATACTTTTGTATCAATTTTCTTGTGTTACAATGATTTATACGTGCAATCCAGAAACGTTGAGTTGTGCGGCGCGCGAGATATTCTCCGCGCTTCTCCCTGGTACGAAGAGGCGCTATGATGTGCACAGTCGGCCTGGGAGGCGATCCTGAGCTGAAGATGTGGAGAACTTTTTGATGACATCGTGGATCGCGATGCTGGTTCATACCTTAGAGTTACCATGAATTGTGGAAAACCTATCAGATCAAAGGGATGGCCATGGATTTAGGCAGGACTTAGGATGTTATTGGTACATGGACCAAAGTAGGGAAGGCAAGCCTCCTATGGGTTGGAAGCCTCTTGATTAAAACAAAAAAACAGAGCCAAACTGAAAAGCTTCTGAAGGCGTCATCACTGGTGGGAGAGAGTATGAGGTCTACTGTGACCCCAAACTAAACATTAGCAAATGCACCACACATGGCTATGGCCTAGTGGACCTCACTGATGAAGAATTTTCTGGTCAGGTCTGTGGAAAACTAAGGTCTGTCACATCAAAAGCCTCTTGCTTCCTTTAAGCTGACTTCTCAACATAGCCCTAAAGGAATATGTGTTCCACTCCATGACCACATCTTCAAAAGCTCAGTACAAGCATACATGTTGTTCAAACAGCTGGTACTGGTTGCCAGCTGGCAGGTACTGTGCAAGAGATCTTTGTTCTCAATGTAAGATCCAGTCGTGTTTTGTCATGCCTGTAGCCCAGTAGTAGGCTCCAGTGAGCTGGTAAACACCCTGTGGCCTTGTCCCTTTGAAATGAGGTAAAGTTGCACTTTGTACTTCAACAATGTCCAAAATGTGTATTGTGGTGATATGCATGTGCTTATGGTTTGTTTTTGAAGGATCTGAACCAAACAGTCACTTTTAAGATGTCATGTATTGCTGAGTTGAAAGTTAAGTGTGATTTTTGTTACTTACAGTAGTGTTGAGAATGGTAAGTAAAAAATTGATACAAAACTGGAAATAGAGTGGTAATGATATTCTTTAGTTTGCTCAGCATGCAAGACCTACTGCCATACAGCAATGGAATGAATTGCCTATTTCCTTCAGCTATTCTACTGAGAGACATGAATAAGACTTGTAGCTTCAAATATGAGTGTGGCCTAAAGAACCATCACAGGAAATAAGTTCTTTGACTCATATTTGATGAACTTATGTAAAAGAAAGATAGAGTAGCACTGGTAGTGCTTTGCAGGATTTTCAGGTTACACACTTGCAAAATATGTCTTTCCTGCTATAATGAAAACCTTTTCATCCACACTGGTACATGCTCATCAAGGTAACATGAAAAATGTTAACATCACTGCCATGATTAGCTGTGTGTACTTACAATCTCCTCATGTCATCAACCTGTTTCCATTTCATTTACATTTTTTGTTCCTTTCATGTTTTCAACAGGTAATCATGGCCAGCTGTCTAATGAAGCGAATCAGTCTTTCCGTGGTTCAGGGACAGTCTCAGAGATTGTCGCCGCCTATCAAGAACAGCTGGCCTACTGACGGCCGGCGATCAGGAGAGAGGCGAAGAAGCGCAGCCCCTAAAGAGCCCAGCAGAGGCAAAAGCCACTGGCTTGCTGGAATCGTTCAAGAAGTTTGAGGAGATGACACAACCCGAAATCGGAGCCAGTTGTCCCAAGTGCACCGTTCTTGACTCTGCTGAGGAACTCGCCGTTCATAAAGGTGGGTTTTCGGTATGGCTGCCCCAATTCCAAGCGTCAGTAAATCCGATGGAATTAAAGCGGATAATACTGATGGTGACCCGCTCTGTCAGATGGGTGATCCGGCCGGCAAGGTCGTAGAAGGCGAGATTTTCCACGCAGTCGGTGATGACCTCTACATCGACTTCGGCGGCAAGTTCCACTGCGTCTGCCCCCGACCTGGCCGCAGAGGAGAGTAAGTAGCCCCGCCGCGCTACGCGCTCTCTTACTGTACTGTAACTGCGGCTGAACAGCGCCTTGGGACGCTTCCGGAATGTTTGAATTGCGCAATACATCGCTAGGCTGGACCAATTGGCAGTAATGATGTTTATAATGTAAGACCTCGGTCCGGTTGGATTTCATTGTTGCTCTGTTGTTCTGGGTTGTAATTGATTTCGCACGACTTGGGCGCAAAATGACCTCAGCAGTTGCTTCACCCGAAGGGCCCTAATAACCAATGAAGGATTCATGTGTGGTGTAAATTATTCGTGATTGATTGAATGCTTTATAATGATATATCGCTTTAAGCAGTGATCACATGCGAATTTAGGTATAGAGGCTCTTAGTGTGATCTGTTGCTGGTTGTTGCTGCAAGCCGTCCATGTTCTTTCTTTGTTTCGTTTTTCGTTGCAATGGTGCGGTGTCAGTGCTGCCGATCCTGGTGCGCAGGGAGTATGTGATCGGCGCGCGCGTGCGGGTCCGTCTGCACGACCCTGGAGTTGTCGTCGCTGTTCCTGGGGGCGCGGCGAGACCTGACCCTGCTCGAGGCGGATGCCACGCTGATCGGCCTCCTGCACAGCCCGTACAGCGTCAGCGCGCCGCCGCCTGCCCGGCTCGTAGCGACGTGCGCCGGCCGCACACCTCGTCCTCCATAGCGCTGTACAGTGTATTGAACAGTGTGTGTGTGTGTGTGTGTGCGCGCTGCGCGTGTATTACAACAGCACACGGCCGAGCGGTCGGGGATCGGCCGTCTTTCCGGCCATGTTGTAACAACAGTTACGGTTGTTGTCGAGCGCTGCGCTCGCCCACGTGGACGTCCTTCATAGAATACAGCGTCAGACCGAGCTGCCGGTCACTGTTACAGAGTGCGGCCGGCGCCACAGCTGTGTCCGCTGGGCGCCGCGATACTAGCGTCAGACCGAGCTGCGGTCACTGTACAGAGCGCGGCCGGCGCCACAGCTCTGTCCGCTGGGCGCCGCGATACAGCGTCAGACCGAGCTGCGGTCACTGTACAGAGCGCGGCCGGCGCCACAGCTGTGTCCGCTGGGCGCCGCACCCACACTCGCGCGTGCACTCCCACTGTCGCTCTCACGCGCCGCAGAATGCCGATAAATGTCTACACTCTTGAGTATCCTGTAACAAGGCGGAGCAGGTGGCAAGGCCCGCTTGCGGGCGGCGGTGGTGTCGCCTCAAGCGGCCGTCACCACATCCCCCTGCTGGTGCGGCGCCGTCTACACCAGCGGCCGCCGCCGGCACCCAATCGCACCACCAGTGGCTGGCCGGCCGGCCGGCGCTTGTCCCGCTTTTGTACACGTGGCTGCGGCGGACCGGACGGCCTGGCCCCGGCCGAAGCTGCGGGCCGAGGGTTACGAGGCGCCAGCGGCCGGGCAGCGCTGCTCGTCGCTGCCGTCGGAGCAGTGCACGACGCCGTCACACACGTCGCTGGCCGGCAGGCAGCGACCCAGCGGGCACCTGGGGGGACACCGGCTAGGCGCACGTCAGCCTGTGGTGGCGCGGCAGGCGCACGTCCAGCCTGTGGTGGCACGGCAGGCGCACGTCAGCCTGTGGTAGCACGGCAGGCGCCACATCAGCCTGTGGTGGCAGCTATGGTGTCGGCCGATTGTCGCTGATAAAACGTCGTGTCATGTATGGGCTATGCAGTCGGCGCTTTTTTTATTTGTATTTGCGCCCAGCATATCGTGTCAGCCACAGGGCCGCGCAACGCTGTGCGATGTCCCAGTCGAGCGCGGCTGCCGTAATGTCTCCGCATGGTATGCTGCATGTCGGCTGCATCAAACAGGACGTCGACACGTCATCTGCCCCAGTGAGCCACTGGCACCTGACCCGCGGGTACAATCCAGGCCGCCATGGTCCGTCGACCTGGCGCCCTGTCGCCCTGCAGTGACCCCTGGACTGACCTGTGGCCCTGGCAGCCGTGCCGCTGCTCGGACGGCAGCCGGCCCGCCGTCACCTGGTCGATCCACTGGGCGTAGTTGGCCACCTTGGTGTACACGCCGGGCCGGCCGGCGCGTGCACACCCGTATCCGTTGCTGGTCACCCCGGCCAGCGTCCACTTCCCCGGGACGGCTCCTGAGGCAGGCGCGCGGACGGTGTGTGACGGGAGCCGACACGGCCGGCTGGCAGTGGGGCGCCGAGCGAGTCTGGTCAAGCCTAGTCATACGCCAGCAGCGGGCGGTCAGGTTACCTCCGTGCGTTACGCCACGTGACCCGTTGTCCCCGCAGAACTTCACCAACTCCGCGGTGGTGATAAAAAACATGGAATATGTCCAGCTCGCCTCAAACCAGGGCAGGAGGGAGGTTCGGACCGGTGCTGGGCCAGCACGGTCCGAGCCTCCCTCCCCCCCCCCCCCCCCTCCTCCCCTCCCCTAGCCACCAGTCCGAGCATGCCTCCCCCCTCCCCCAGCTCAGTCCGCCCCGACGAAAAATCTTCAGCCTGATGGGTCAACGGTCCATCGCCCAGCCCGCCGGTCCTGTACTTGACACATCAGCGGACCGCCGCTGTCACCCAGCCCGCCGGTCCTGCCCTGATACATCAGCGGTCCGCCGCTGGCGGGCCCAGTCCGCCGATCCTGACCTGGCACATCATCGGACGCCGCTGTCGCCCAGCCCACCGGTCTGACCTGACACCCAGCCCGCCGGTCCTCACCTGACACATCAGCGGACCGCTTGCTGTCGCCCAGCCCACCGGTCCTGACCTGACACCCAGCCCGCCGGTCCTCTACCTGACACATCAGCGGACCGCTGCTGTCGCCCAGCCCACCGGTCCTGACCTGACACCCAGCCCGCCGGTCCTCACTGACACATCAGCGGACCGCCGCTGTCGCCCAGCCCACCGGTCTGACCGACACATCAGCGGACCGCCGCTGTCGCCCAGCCCACCAGTCCTGACCTGACACATCAGCGGACCGCCGCTGTCGCCCAGCCCGCCGGTCCTCACCTGACACATCAGCGGACCACCGCTGTCGCCCAGCCCAGGGTCCTCACCTGACACCCAGCCCGCCGGTCCTCACCTGACACATCAGCGGACCGCCGCTGTCGCCCAGCCCACCGGTCCTCACCTGACACCCAGCCCGCCGTCCTCACCTGACACATCAGCGGACCGCCGCTGTCGCCCAGCCCACCGGTCCTCACCTGACACATCAGCGGTCCGCCGCTGTCGCCCAGCCCACCGGTCCTCACCTGACACATCAGCGGTCCGCCGCTGTCGCCCAGGCAGGCATCGCGGCCGCCCCGCTCGTATCCGGCGCAAACATGTTCTCGGTGATGCGGTACAGCGGCAGGAAGACGGTGCGCTTCTTGCACTCCTGGGACGAGATCAGCGGTAGCTGCACCTCTTGCAGCGTGTCGGCTGAAAGTAGCACCATCGACGGTCAGTCGCGAAGTGCAGATGTGCTAGCTGATGCTGCCGTCTGCCTGTGGCCGATCACTGCTGGCATTTCAGATGACAGTCGCCCATGAGAACGACATGGATTCGACCACGGTTACGCAGGCATGCGTCAGTCAATGAAATATAATGGAGAAATTGTGCCATAGATCGGTGGTCTTCGGTTCGCTGGTCTCACGTTGCAGTACTTACGGAATATTCCTGCCGGATTCAAACAGCTGGCCCCAGCCGACACTGTAAGAGGGCTCCGTCCTGTTCGGCGCGTGGGTGATGGCAGGACACAACCGGTCTTACGAAGTCGCTCATCCTGAATTTCCCGTGGCAAGCGTCAGGATAATAAGAGACCGCGTGCTGTGATTAGCGGGCTTAACGCCCGTCTGCGCAGTGCTTCCAGAAAATCATAGCTATTGCATCTCGACGACCTGTAGATTTCACAACTCAATGGTCTCCTACCATCCGGAATCACGTTCCAACCAATATACACTTAGATTGTGCGTCGCCAGAACAGGCTTCGCGCCCCCCAGCGTCACCTCCAAACAGCGCCAGCACGTACTGGGCGGGTTCCTTGAGGCGCAGAGGCAGTGCAGTCGTGCACGCCTAGCCGACGTCCGGGTAGTCAGGGTGCATGATGACGGTGCGAGACGGCGTGCAGCCCGCTCGTGCGGCGAGAGCAGGGAGCTGCCGCGCCGGTACGCGCCCAGCCGCGCCAACCAGAACCGCCTGGTCGATCTGTCGGAGGGGGGGGGGGGATCGTTCAGCCTGGGCTTTGAAGGGGACCAGGAAATCTGCGGAAGGCAGCGGATTGCATCCCTGAGCGCTTCGTCCGAAAAAACTATCAGCGCTTGTTGGACCGCCTGGAACATATATTTTGGGTCTACACATATTGCCTAGCATGTTTTGCACCCTCAACTCTGAAGTACTGGCCTTTTAAATTTACAACTGATACCAGTTCGCAATTGAACAAACAGCCGTACGCGTCTGCAGAACGGCTTACAAGTCGGCCAAGGAGCGCTGCTTGCGCCATCTATGGGCGCTCACCTGATGGTAGCAGTGTCCCGGCCGAGACAAGCCAGCGGTCCGAGGATGAGCGTGGCGCCGCACTGGTACTCCCCGTCCCGGTACATGGCCGCCTGCCACGGCCACGCGCCCGGGCTCGTGTTGCCCCACCCACGATCCTGAGTGGCACAGCGGCGAGGTTAGATGGGTGCGCCATTCGCAGACGCTCACGCCGCGGTTTTTTCGTTATGGTGGGCCGGGCTTCCCAGAGTGGGGTCTAGCTCGTGATATCCAAGCCATGGTGGTGCCCACGCAATTAAATCGGAAACAGGAAAACCACGTGGTTCGGGGCCAATGCACCGTCGTTTTCCGGAAGCAGGTCTAACCTTCTGATTCCGACAAGACATCAGCACCCCAAGCGCACTTACCCTTGCCGTTTGTGATCACTGAAGTAATTGCCACGCCTGAGGTCTAATTGCTCATGGGAGCAGCCAGCGGTGACCTCGCTTATACTGATATCTAAACACCGAGTCGGAAGCGGCCGGGGTGCGTCCGCTCCCGGGAGCTGGCAGACCTGTGACGCGGTCTGGCGGCCCAGCAGCGCCTATTTGGCCGCCCAGCCCGACAGACCCACCTGGCCTGGCGCTGCTTGATGCGCGGTCGCAGGCCGCAGCGCAGCTGGTCGCAGGTGACGTGCAGCGCCGTCTGGCGGGGACACCGCTCCTCGGCGAACACCAGACTCGCCCTGCGGCACCGACCGCGCGTGAGATCAGCCCGAGCACCGGGGCGGCTGGGGGGGGGGGGGGGCAGCTCTTGTGATCGTGAGGTTCGGTACGCCTCGGCGACAGGCCACCGAATTGTTAGCCGTCGAGGCGTCGAACCCAAAACGCGAAAGGTGGAATGAAGTCGCACCTGTTCAGTTTCGTACGGCATGCGAGATGGCGTGGTGGCCTTACTTCTCGGACTCTGGTAGCAGGGAGCTGGGCGAGTAACAGCAGTCGGTAGAAGGGTTTCCGCGAGCTTGTCCGCTGTCTCTGCGGGTGGTGTCTCCGGTCCCACCGAGCGGACTTGTTTGGCGTCCCTGAAACACGTCCAGGCGATGAGCATCGCAGCACTCCGATCGTATCATGTACAGCCATAAGACCGCCTGCTCAACGTATGTTTAAACGTAGGTGCCACCAGTCTTAAGCTGGTTGTGGGTGAAAGTTAGCCGATGTTCCCGTGCCGGGATTGTACAGTTAGACATATAGCGAATGCACTCACTTTATGATCACTGCGACTCACTCTTTAAGCGCGCGCTTTCAAAACCGGGGGAGCCGAAGAAAGTTTCCCTGTCCTACAGCACCCGTCTGCGTGCTGCTATCCTTGAGAAAAACACCAACACTTCGCACGCACACACCAATCGAAAAACGCCAGCAGGCCTCTCCCCCCCCCCCCCCCCCCCCCACCTCTTCTCTCCCCCTCCCCACTCACTGGTAGGTGAGCGCTTTGCAGACGGCCCTGCCGAGCTCCTGGGCTGCCCAGCGGCCCTTGATCTGGCGGGCCGTCCGCTCCAGCTGGTCGGCACAGAGTCGGCCCCAAACGCCTCGCTTGCGCACGAGCAGCAGCCCCTCCGGCCGGTACTCGGGCGCGCTCGCCTGCGCCACGTCCGCCGCGATTGTCACGCAGCGCCGCTCGTCGGCACCGTCGGCGCAGTCGTAGTGTCCGTCGCAGATGGCGCTGCGGTC